TTTTTTTTAATTCAACAGTGAATTAACTTTGTTCGAAGTCGTAAATAAAATTACGATCAAAGATAATTGTTGTCTTTTTTCTTTTTTCAAATGACGAATCATTCGTCATTAGAATATCTTTTCAACCAATTGTAGATGTAGAAGAGAAGGAAGAAGAAGAAAAAAAAATATTGAATATTTTTCTGTAACGATTATATTTGTTCAACTATCTCTTTCATTTCTAACACTTCTCATCTTTATGGATAAGAAGGCAACAACAACAACGAATCAACAGCGAACACTACGAAAAACATCTCCTCAGGTTTGAATCGATAATTTTCATAATCTATTAAAAGAGTAAATGTAAGATTGTCTACAGACAAAAATTGATCATGTCTATAATTTAATTGCTTAATGGATTAAGATAATTTTACGAGTAGGAACAATTAAAACATCCATTACCAATCTTATGTCATTCATTAGTTAGCGTGTGAAACACACGCGTTGATGACATCACTTATTATTTTTTTTCTTCTGATTCCTATTGCTTTAAAAGATTAATTTAAATATATATTATATTTGTAGAATTTAACTATGGAAAAACATACAATAAAAAAACGACGTTATTCTCATCAATCAAAAATACTTTATACGCAACAAGAACCTACATTCTTCTTATTTGAACACTTAAATACTACTATGACACATTTAAAACATCGAAATAATACATCATTTCGACCACTTGCTACTTCAACTCCCTATGAAATTGAACAATCACATTCATTCAATTGTAATTCTCCACGTAAGATTTTTTTATTATGATTAATAGATAATATTATTGTTATTTATAGAATCAATTATGAAACATCAACGACCATTATTAACTCCTCCAGTTTTTTGTAGTACACCAAAACAAACTCGTCGTCAACCAACAAGTTCATCGACAGCTAAAAGAAAATTACCAATTGTTATATCACAACGACGATTACAATTTACAACTAATTCACAATCATCTGTACGACATTCAAATGATCAAAGTAAACGAATGACAATGAAAAATGTTAAAATATGGCTTTTATAAAATTAAAATAAATATTTTTGTATAAACTGAGTTAATCTTCGTTTACTTTTTTTTGTTTTTTTTAAATATTCAATAGAGCGTATATAATTATCACACAGTCGGAGATCAGTATAAATCAAGCAGAAGATAGGAGATGATACGTATTGGCGTCGTCGTTGATTGATTCTTTTAAAAAAGAAAAGACGATGGTTGAAGTGGACATAACTATCTAGTAGGGATAAGTGTGCCGGTTGAATTAGAGCGGAAATAAAATAACTATCAATCGTTCTTATTGTCTTAATTTATTACAAAATGATATCATTTAAAACTGAATGGATACTCAATCAAATGAGATAATAAATTTTTCGTCTACCATAGTTACAAAAAAAAGAATGAGGCGGTATATAACGAAAATTTTATCTTCCAATTTTCCCCCTGGAAGGAGTGAGTTAAATACTACAATAAACAAAATATTCTCCCAATACCATCATACACTTATATAATTAATCATCTTTCTCATATACTCACTTTCCCCCCCGTATCATACAATAACATTTATGTTAATTATTTGACTTTTTTCTCGATAACGAATTAATCGAATTATCTTATTTTACAAATGAAAATTATCTACGAAACAGATATGGATATTCTTCCATGGACATTTATGTCACGTAATGTACATGAAGCATGTGCAGAAGGTCGTACAACGGAAGTTGAACAATTGATTCGTGAAGGTGCTGATCTTAATGATTGTGATGAAGTTGGAAATACACCATTATGGCTTGCTTATATGAGTGGTCATTTAGATACTGTATTTGCTTTACTTGAATTAAATGTTGATATTAATCGACGTACAGGAACAATATTAGCATCAGATTTTCATCGAGCATGTGGATGGGCTGATGAAGTTTTTATTGATATTTTATGTAATTATAATGCAAATTTAAATCTTACAGATCGTATGAAAGACTTTTTTTCAATATTTTCATTTATTTATTATTTTTCATTTCATAGGATATGGTAAAACACCATTAATATATGCAATTGAATATCGAACAGATTTATCTGAATCAATTGAAGTAGATCTTATTCGTTTATTAATAACTAAAGGTGCAAATGTAAATCATATTGATATGTCTGGTTTAACACCATTATTTTATGCTATCTATCGTGGTATTCCATCGATTGTTAAACTTCTATTAAATTCTAATGCTGATTATAAATTTGAAAATTTTCTTGGTTATTCACCATTTCGTTATGCACTTGGTTGTTTATCATATGCAAATCCATATGAAACACAAATTTATCAAGGACGTTTAGATGTTGTTGAAATTTTACTTGAAGAATTTTCTCGAAATGAAAATGAACTTAAACAAGCACTTATTGGTTCTATACCAACAATACCATATTTATTTCCATTATTTGATTTTATATTTTATTGTCGAATTAAAATTTATGATAATTTCGAAGAATTAGCTTGGAAATTTTTTGAACAAACACATTGGCCATGCCCGATAACATATGGAAATCTTCTTTTATGTCAAAATTTAATTGTATTTAATCATAATATTGAACATATTATTTATTTTCTACAACGAATGTATATTGATAATTATAAACAATTAATTATTTTCTATTTACAACGTGTTATCAAAGATAAAGAATCAACGAATCGATTTTTTCTATTACTTTATTGTGCATTTATTGAAATGAATGGGAATTAGTAAGAAAAAACAAAACATTTTTTTTTTTCGAAAAATCATTAATTTTAATGCACACTAGAAATGTCATAATACGAAAGTCCTTGTCGCCTAGATCACGAATCTGATATCCGTTTGTGTCGGTTTTTGCCGTAGGGAGGTACCTGAGTCTCAGTAGAGCTTTTTTCGCTAATCATTTTCGTATAAGGAAGTTTTGAATTCTATTGAGGAATGACGACGCTATCGTCAAAATAGAAAAACAGTAAAATAGCTTAAAATCTCATATTTTATAAGAACAAAAATAGGTTTTTACTATGTTTTTTATTTTGATGATAGCGTCGTCATTTCTCGATAGAATCCAAAACTTCCTTATACGAACATTTTCTGAGTAATTTGTGTATTTTATGTTTGACATCCCATGGAACCACCCAGTATCAGACTCAGGTACTCCCCCTTTCGTATTATGACATTTCTGGCGTGTGTTAAAATTAATGATTTTTGACCACTCCCTTTTTTTTCTTAATTTTAGTTTATATGTAAATATGTTAAAATCTATACTTGAAAGTCAACGAATTTATTTATTTAAACAACGTCGAGATATAATTAAAGCAATTTTAATTTTATGTCAACAAGCACCAATGCGTCTTTCAGCATTATGTCGTCGAAAAATACGTCAATCAACGAAATCATTAATTGATAAACGAATTGCACTTGATTCTATTTTACCGAAAAATCTTCAACAATATTTAATTATTGATGAATTAAAATTATTTCTATCATCATTAACTAGTAAACGATTACTTTTTCTAATTCAACAATCGATTTCTTATAATAAATTATCTTCAAATTTCATATCATCATTTAATGAACTCTGTTCGTAGTATTATTCGAATTGAATTTTTTTGTTTTTTTTTATTAATAATAATACAGAATATTTAAAAATATTATTGCAAAAAAAAAATTATTCATTTGTCTGTAATATCTTGATTTGAAATCACGAATACATTCGTTGATGAGGGTGGAATAGTAACCTATTAGAAAAATAGAATTAGATTAAATTGTATAGAGACTATTTTTGAGACATGCTGTAAAAAAGTGTTATGTGAATTAAAGCACCCATTCAGTTATATATGTTATCTATCATGCAAAAAATTACCCAACCCAACCTACTTATTTATCTCTAAAAAGTATATGAACTATTTTTGTGTCTAGATTATTTATTGAAACTTACGATCGAATCAAGAACATCACTTTTATGTTCAACATCTTGAAATGATTGTTTCCATTCTTCACGTTCCTAATAAAATTAATTTTTTTATCAAATATAATTCATATTTGAAATAAATATACTTCTTGATCCATACGTTCATACTCCTGAATTTCAGAATAATATTTCGGTTTTGTAATTCCAAAAAACCAAGCTAATTTTTCTCCAGCTGAATCACATGCTTCATAACTTTTTTTTACAGATTGTTTTGCATAAAACCACATCCATGGCATCCATTGAAGTTGTGTCTATTTAAAATTAAATTCTAACTATTATATTCAAAATATACGAATATAACATACAGGATCGATTTGTTGTTCAGTAGTTGTTATCGGTTGTGGTTCATATAAATCACTATCATCATCATCACTTTCACTATCATTATAATTTTTATTCATTGTTGATAATGAAATATCAACTGTACTAGTAGTATTATTTGTCATCTAAAATAGTAAATCAAATAAACTGTTTGTGTTTATCCATCTTTTCTTTTATTATTTACAAAAAAAGAAAAGAAATCACTAGAATAAAGAAGAAAAAAAAACGAAAGCAATATCGATTGAATTTATGACTCTCGACGTTCGAGTTCAACAACAACAGCACTAGCAGCTACATCATAACTTGTTTGTCGATTTTGTGATGTTAATAAAGCGATAATAACAGTTGGAAATAGAAATGTCGATGTTAAAGTTTTAAATGATGAACGAATTAATGCTCTAAAAATTAGAAAAAATAATTTAATTTACAAGAATATACTATCATTCTTACGCTCCACTATTAAGTATTGTACCGGGTTCAATAGCAACATCACCATTTTCTTGTATTTGTAAATGATTACATTTAAGAACACGTAAACGAAGTAGACGTTTACCCGGTGTTGCAGCATAACGAGTAAGACAAAAACTCTGAACAAATTGATTAGAATAAAACATAAATCATGAAAATATACTTTACTTCAAAAGCAATGCATATTACTAAATATGCTAATTCAACACAAAGAAGTTCAAGTGGAAATGATAGAGAATCTTCATAGAGTATACTTGAAACCATATAACTAAGACTTAAATGAGTTTCATCAATCAGATGTAAATAATTTGCAAGAACAAAGATCATAAGAATTCTTTCAAAAAAAACAGAAAATATATTATAATTGGTATAAATAAATATTTACTTAAATATATGTAAAATAATAAAATCAATTGCTTCAGCTAAAAAACGACGCCAAACAGATGCAACTTTCAAACGTGCTAGACAAATAAAATAATTATTATTCTGATATATCGAAGAAAAATATGTACACGAACCATTTCGAATTTCTGCTAATGGATCAAAAGGTGGTGAACGATTTGTAGGTAATGTTGTTGTTGTTGTAAGAATGGGTATTTGTTGTGCAAGTGAATTTAACATCATCATACTGAGCGACAAAAAAAAATTGAATTTTTATTTTTATTTCAAAATTATTATATTTACTTGTGATAAGTAACACAACTGGTATTCCATGCATAATATGCGTGTTGCCATTTGGCAAGCAATTCAGAATATTCATCGACTGTCATTTCGCGTGGTTTAGCTTGAACAGACGATGTTTCAGAATCACTACTCATTTTCACACTACGTCACAAATCGTTTAATGATTTTACATACGTAAAAATACATCAATCTATGGTCTTTGCAACTAGTGGATTGTTTTCCGTACAAATAGTATCATTGAAGATATATAAGAAGTAGGTTATAGCGACATCTGTCGCATATACTTTCATCAATTAAGGAAAAAGTTTCAAAAACTCTACATTTATTATTTAAATTAAATAACAGACAATCTTTTATTTCGAGTATAGTCTCTTCCTTCTAAAATATTGCTTTGGATTGAATAATTAATCATTATTATTTGCAAATTTAATATGTAATTTTTTAATTTCATTTTTTAATTGTTCATTTTCTTGTTGACATAATTGTAAATTACGTTTAACTTGTACAAAATCTTTAAAATTACTATTTAATTGTTTTTCTCGATTATTTTCTTGTTCTTGATGAATTTTTTCTTGTAGTTGAATTTGTAAATATTTTATATTTTCTTTTAATAATTCATTTTCATCAATAGTTTGTTGATTTTTATCTAATTCATTATTCAATTTATCTTTTAATGATTGAATATCTTGTTCAGATATTTGTAATTGTTGTTCATTATGTTGATATTCAATATTTAATTCAAATAATTTTTGTCTATCTTGTTGTAATAATTGTTGTAATTCTCTAACTTGAGATTCAAAATCAAGACGAGTTTGTTCGGATAAAGTTAATGATTGTATTATTTGTTCATTTTTTTGTTCTAATTTATTCACATGACTATTTAAGGTTTCATTTGTTATTCTTAAATCTGAAAGTGAAGATGTAAGAATTTGATTTTCTGTTTGTTTATCATTAGCACGTTTTTGTGCAATCGTTAATTGTTGCTGTGCAGTTTTTAAATCTTTTTCTAATTGACTATTTTGACGATCAACACGATCAAGTTCACGTTGATATTCTTCACGATTGATATTATGTTGTTTTTTAAGATTATTTAATTCATCATTTAATAAATGATATTTTGATTCAAAATCTTCTCCTTCTGTATTTATTGCTTTATCAACAAGTTGTTTATAAAATGTCGGTATCTAAGGAAATAAAAATTATTAAAATAAGTAACAGACAAAGAAATTACTTCTGGTGTTCGAATTAATATTTCACTAATTGGAGTTTCTATTCGTTGAATAGGAGTTTCTTCTCGTTGAAAAGGAATTTCTTCTTGTATAATGGAAATTTCTTCTACTTCCGTTGAGTTATCAACAACGACAGGTGGTGGTGACGGTGGTTGTTGTTGTTGTATACGATCATCTTGATGTCGTTTAAGATGTTCAATATGTAATCTTAATTCACGATTTTCATCGATAACATGTCGTAAATATTTTAATGTTTGTACATGACGAGATTGAACAAATTTTTCAATTGTATCAGTGACCTCTTGTTTTACACCTTCCTCATCATCATCATCGTCATCGTCATCATAGTCGTCAATAGTAACCCTTTTGCGTTGTTGCATGTTGTCAATAAAAACTATTGTGAATGGAATGAGTATGACATTACTATGCTTTCAATCGACACCTTCATGTGAATATATAAGCGGAAAAGAAGAGAAAATTTCTATTCTTTATGTAGTCTAATGGAATTACTTATTGATCTTGATTTTTTTATTAAACATTAAAACATAATATAAATAATTAAATAAAATAATTTATCTCTCATAAATATATTAATTTTACTTGAGAAAATCTTATAAAGTTCATAATAGGTATGGTTTTTTTCTGTTGGTTACCTCACGTTATTATTGACTCTTCTGTTACGAAATAGAATATGAATCCTAACTATCTGAGAGTATAAAATTACATCTTAATCTAAATCACGTTTCGAATATCTTTTTCATTTTTTAATAAAATTTAATCTGTAATAAATTTCAATTCCAATTATTTCTTTTTTTCTTCGTATGATTAGTTAATGAGTATTTCGTGACAAATTTATTTAATTCAAAGGATTTATTAACTGATAGACGACGTTTTTCTTTCTTCTTATAATTCATTATTTCTTTTTGTTTGTTCTTTTTTAAAAAATAGACACTTGTTGTTAGAATAACTCATCTCGCTTTTATTGTTTGAAATAACTTCTATAGAATTGTTAACTATAAACCAATTCCCATCGTATTCTTTTGTCCCATTTAATATTCTTAAAGCATTTGTTTTTCTTTTTACTCAAGAGCTTTTTTTCGAAATGGATGATTTCATTTTCAATATGTATTGATAAAAGAGTCGACATTCTCTCTTCACAAGCTGAATTTTGTTTCTGTGTCAATGACAACGACATACACACTCATACAGTTCACTTTGTTTACATAGTTCAGTTCTAGTTAAGCAAAAAAAAGAGAAAGAGAAAAAGAAAACTTGAAAAGTACTGTTTATGGCATTTTCCGTGCGGCAGAAAAATCAATCTTCCTTTCTTTGTTTGATTATGAAGAGAGAGAGACAGAGAGAAAGTGAAAAGAAAGAGAAAGGTACTCGAATATGACAATCTTTCTCAAAGGTAGTAGAAATTTTTTTTTAAAAGTCTTCTCATTACCTACTCGCTACACTTGAAGTGTTGTGTCTGTTTGTGCATACATAGAGAAGAGAGAGAGAGAGAGAGAAAAAGAGAATGAGTTCGTATAATTAGAAGAAGAAGGAGAGAAAGAGAGTGATGAAATATATTTCATTTTAACATACACACATATAAAGCTCAGTCATTCGTTTGGAAGGTATGCGAAAGAAAGTTGGACATATATTCATACGGGTAATTATCATAGGACTTCGTTGTCGTCTCTAATTGAGGTGAGACAATAGAAAAGATGGATATATACATGCATATATATATATATATAGTTAGTTATTGTAATCGCTCCCTATATATTATTATCTATCTCTCTTCTTTTCCTACACCTTGAGCAGAACATATATGTCATAAATACCACGAGTTCGCTAAAGAATTGTACACTCTCGTACATACGAACAAGAAATATATGCATAGATATACATTTATGTCGATATATATTTTTTTTATCCATCCTCTTTTTTTTCTCTATCGTATGCACAGTAGCAAAAGGAAAAAGGAAGATGAAGACGAGTTCTCGTGTATTTTTTTTTTCTTTATTATGCGTAAGACGAAGAAGAGTTTTGTACTCAGACCTTGCATAGTCGTTGTTATTGTCGTCGCTACGACGATGTATATACATACATACAGACATACATATATATATATATTTTCTTTTTTTTTCATTTCAATTGCTATTCTTGCCTGTGTGCCCTGATGATGATGATGTGTACAGGTATGCTATTCTTTGTTGTTGTCGTTCTGTTTCTTTCTTTCTTTTTTTTTCGATTCGATTGTCGCTCGCAATGGTGAATACTTTACGGTCCCCTCTCTCTCTCTGCCTCCTTCCTTTTTACTCTGTTACAATCCACTTTCCTCACATATTCTGTTTCGATGTGTGTGCCATATGTATTTTTTGTTCGAAGAAGGAATCGTAAAAGAATTGACTCGTCCATATCATCTATATGTTGAGGAGTAAAATTCTTTTATAAATGAACATCAGTAGTATTAACAGATGTTAAGATATAGGAAGAAAAAAAAACCCATATATATTCTGATATAAAGCCAAGAAAAGGGCACTTACGACATGCTAGTCAATCGTGATTATTCTATATGATGTAATTAGCTTTGTTCTATTGTTCTTTTAAATACATATATTTGATTCTCTGTTATTTCGTTGAAATATCACGAAAAAAAAAAAGAAATGTGTTTTTTTTCCTTTCTTTCTTTCTTTTGGCTTTTTGACAATATACTGATAAGTAAAAAAACAAGTAGAACCAATACAACTAGGTCGGTGTCATTGCAATTTGTTGAAAAATTAAAATCATATTGCACTACATTCGATCTCGCTGTCATTGTGTTATATGACGTCGACAAAAAAATGATATATCAAAAGTATGAAAAAATCACACGTTATTTATCAGTTTCATATGAATGAAAAAATCAGGTAGCAAAAAAAAATTGAACAGCTGATAGAAAGAAAAAGTTACATCATTTACATTCGTTTTTTTTCTTCTTTACATATGTATATTAAACATTAGTTATAAAAATTTTTACATGTGACTAGCTGTCAAGAAACAAGAAAAATAAAGCTGATAATATAAAAAAATATCTAGGAAGATAGGAATTGATCATTATGAACCACAATCACCAAATGTTGAATTCCATTCAACATATTTATTTAGTGTTGATGGTGAAACACTTGCTCGAATTTTTCGTAAAGCATGAGAAAAATCTTGTTTTGATAATGGTCGAATACGACTAATTGATAATTGTTTTAATTCTTCAACATGTAATTCACGTACTGGACCCATTGCTGCATCTTTTGCTAAAGCAGTTAAGTCACTACCTGAATAACCATCAGTTTCACTTTGAAAAAATAAAAAAAATATTTTTTTGTTTTTATTATGATTATAAAATTCTTACTTGGCAATTGTTTCAAAATCATTTTTTGTTAAATTATGTTCTTGTTTAGTAAGTAAATGCATTAAAAGTTGTATACGTGTTTTCCTATCAGGAAGTTGAATGTATATTCGACGAGGAAAACGTCTTATGAATGAAAAACAAAAATACAAGAAAATCTCTTTTGAATTTATATATTTTACCTTAATGCAGCATCATCTAATTCAAATGGACGATTAGTTGCAGCAAGAACAAGAATACGATCATCAGCATTTGTTTGAACCTAAATAAATATATATGATTTTTACTTTTATAAACTTCTTCTTTTTTTTTGTCTTACACCATCAAATTGAACAAGAAATTCAGTTTTAAGTCGACGCATAGCATCATGTTCTGATTCTTTACGTGCTGAAAGTAATGAATCGACTTCGTCTACAATAATAAAAAATAAAGATATGATCATATAAGAAAACATGTTAACAAACCAATAAAAATAATTGATGGTTGTAATTCACGAGCCGCAGCAAATAAAGCTCGAACTAATTTTTCACCTTCACCGACCTAATCGAGCAAAGAAAACGATTAAAATCATTGTTATTAAGATATAATCATACATATTTAGATGTTAAACTTGATGCACTGATATTAAAAAATCGAGCTTTTGCTTCAGAAGCGACAGCTTTTGCCTAGTGATAAAGAAATCAATCAAATAATTATATATTATATTTTTCGATTTTATTTACTAGCATAGTCTTGCCATTACCAGGTGGTCCAAATAATAGAATACCTCTTACAGGTGCACGTAGACCCGTAAACATCTAATCATAAACGATAATAATCATTTGATATATTTATATTAAAAAATTTACTTCTGGTCGAAGAACAGGTAAAATAACAGCTTCTTCAAGTGCTCGTTTCGCTCCATCTTGACCACCTGTAAATACAAAAAAATTCATTCTATGCTAATTTATGTATCAGACATTCTTAATTGTTCTATAATTGCAAAGGAAAATCAATCAAAAATATTTACATGCTCGAAAGACTTTCTTCTTATCTCTATCATAGATCTAATATATAATAACAGTTCCAATCTATCATTCCCATAAAGCATACGAAAAGAATGTAAGACATTATTGAATAAAAAAATCTTACCAATATCACTAAATTTAACATGTGGACTATTTTCAATGACTTCATCAAGAATGTATGAAATAAGTTTAGGTTCTACATTTGGTAGTTTAAGTGTCGGTCGTTGAGCAGGATTTTGTGTTGATACTTTTTTATGATTCGCCGCTGAAGAGACTTCTTTCTTGCCAGTCTAAAAGTAGTTTTTTTGTATAAATTTTATATGAATTAAATAATTATATATGTATGTTTACATTGATTAATCGTGTAGGTGCTTGTTTTAATTTAGGAGTTAAACGTGTTGGAGAAGAAGAAGCATTGATAGCAGGTGATAAAGCACGTGAGCGAGGATTTGATAAAGCAGACTGGAAATATAAGCAAGTTAAGCAAAGCAATTTAGAGTAGTTTATGCAGTACTTACAGAAGGTGCTGCTCCAATATGACGAGGAAGTGTTGGACGTTGTACTTTCGTAGGTAACTTATTTATAGGTTTAGCTGGCGGAGAGAGATTTTTTAGATTTATTTTTTCTAGAAAAAAAAGTACAATTTTATTTTATAATTATGTATATCATATAAACTTACGTAAAGCATCAACTCGTTCTTGAGCCATAATTAAATTCTTGCGCATTTTTTTATGTAATTCTATAGCTCGAGTATCTATTATTTGAATAGATAAACATGAAAAACAAATAATGCTTTATAGTTTCTTTTTTACCATTAGGATCCGTAGTTAAATTTAGAGCTTTTTCTAATTCTTGAATACCTTGTTTATATAATGGAATAGCCAATTCACGGTTCTCTATATTATAATATCAAATAAACTAACTGAAAAAAACAAATCGGAAAAAAATAATTATACGTGGTTGTTCATCGCACTCTAATGCTCGATGTAAATATTCAACAGCTCGTTGATAATAATCATGTTGAATTTTATAAGGTTCACCTTCCATACTGAAAAATTGACCAAACCAACTAGTCAAACTTGAAAACATTCAGGGACATTAATATTTCATCTAAACTTGTTTAATCATTTCGAGCTTCTTTCAAAGTCGTGATCAGTCAGTAGACTGCTGTTTGTTGAGTCATCATTCGTTTCATCAAATCAAATTATTCAACATAGTTATGCATTTATATAATTTAAGCAGAGGGTGCCATCTATGCTTCTACTGAACTGAAATTTAATTTTTCAGCCATTTGATTAGTCTTTTTGAGCAAAATGCGACAGTATTATACTCAATCTTTCTTTATACAGAAGGTAACGTTACATATACCACGAAGGACAAATACAAATTCACAACAGACTCTTATATTTGTTTACACGCACGTGTGCAATATTACGTCCTTTTTTCTCGTCATATATTAATTACAGGTAACATTCGCGACGAGCATGACGGGAAAAAAGCGTTTACGATTAATACTCTCGTCTGACGGCCTTATCCACTTGTTTTTTTACAATAAAATGAAAGAAAGTAGTACTATGCATGGGTAATCACAGTAGTAAAGAAGAGATATAAACGTGCGGTCGTCGAAATTTACATCACTTATTTTATTTGATTATTCTTTAAAGGTAAATATTACTACACTAATTTTGTAATGTATTATTTTTATTTATTTATAACTTCATCAGTATCTGATAGAAAAGCTCCCAAATGTGACGTTCAATTTTCATTCAATAGCTTAGAGATTGTCTAGCAATGTCTTACTCGGTTACATGTAAAATTGATTGATTTTCTGGAACTAAATTTATTTATAAAATCTGTATACAAGTTTTCTAGGATTCGACCAATGATATAATGGACATATCTACGTACACAGAGAGCTTTTACTTAATCAAAAATGAGGTCTTCTTTATATGTATTGCGACCAGAGATATCTTTAATATACCTACTTTAACTTTAACCGTTGAAGTAATATATTTTTAAAATTAAAGTGTCACATGTAGATGATTACTCTTTGACTCATTGAATTTTATACATTAACAATATTAATTGCTTTCTTTATTTGACTTTTCAGGTCTTCGATTCTCCAGCGGTTGTTTAAACCCCTTCACTATTCAAGATGTCAAGTAAAGTAGTGAATGTTTTCTTTCTTTCTATTCATATATAAGAAAATATAGAAAGGAAATGATATATATCTCAGATATTTTCGGTGGGATGTTTTTTTTTTTAAATATTTTTGCTGAAGATTTGTCAATATTCCTTTATCAAAATTAAATTACTATACTAGGTTTTACGAACACTTTTCAATGATGTATTTTTTATTAGGTATTGAAGAACTAAAAAACTTCGAAGCAGTTAATGCGGAAATGGGATCTTGTAAAGGTCATCGTTGTGGTAAATGCGGCAGATGCCATGATTGGTATTATACAGGAGATTTAAAAACTTTCGCATGGCTTCAAAATTGGAAGAAGTGGACCACAAAGGATTGGGAACGTTACCGTGATAATAACTTTTCTGAGCGTTTCAAAAAGCGTGTTGATGCAACATGTACTTATCATCTTTGTATTATCGATGGTGATGATCTTCAGGCTGGTCTTCATTTTCATTCTATTGGTGCTAATGCTTATTATCATGCTCATCATGATCTTTGTTTGTGTAATGATATTGTTCGTAACTAATTCCTTACTAATACAATATCTCACAAGAATATTTTAGCACTTTTCAAACAATATTTTTTAAATAAAAAAGTTCACTTTAATTTTTTTTGTATCAAAGAAAAGTATGATGGATGTGGGTGAGGCTGTGAGTAAAAAAAGAGTTACACCGTCACTGTCTCTCTCTTCTTATACCCCATGCTCACCTCTCTAATATTTCACAGCATCAACATCGATTTTGCGTTCTTCCAAGTAATCTAATGGGATTGGTTTGTGTGTTTATTCCCAGCAGACAGTAATGACAAGAAATTTCATTTCGAAAAAAAACAAACTTTTCTCTATAATGATGTTTTACGCAGTAGTTTTTGCGACGATAGTTATGACTTGAATTTGTTCCTTTTCACCGAAAAAAGAGTGTGAGAAACAAAAGGATGGGTGTGGATGTGTAGGTTGATCTGGATGGATGTGGAGACTGGTCTGGATGGGTGTAAGTAAAGATGTGGGTGTGCATGGGTGAAGGTGAGAGTGAGGATGTATATTTTATCTTCTGCTTATATCCACACCGACATACACATTCATTCTCAGGATCCTGCACGAAATCATCGTTTGCTCTGGAGAAAACGATGAAATCCTATAGAAAATGTGGAGCCACGGAATTTCAACTTCCTGGCAGGATCGAAGCAGGTTTCAACAAGGATATTTTCAATTTTATTGCTATCTTTGAATTAACAACCGTTCAGAGGATCAAGAACTCCTGGAAGAAATCTGTAGCCGCAAAAGTGCAAGACAGATATGGATCTGGGTGTGGATGTGAGTGTGAGTGTGAGTGTGGGTCAGGGTGATGGCATGAGTCTGAGTACAGGTATAATAAGAAGATAAAATCTACACTCACACCCACACCCTCAAGAGTGCTGAAACCATCTGATCTGATCTGATCTGATCCGATCACGATTTTCGACCGTCAAAACAAAAAGTATTTTTGTTGAAACAGTCGCTCACATACGTGTTTTTTATTATACGGTGTGGTTTTTTTCCAAGTTGACGAAGTGGCAGAGTAGAGGAGTTCTTGAGTGATTTGTTTTTGTGAGTAGACATGACGTTTGAAACAAAGATTACCTTTGTGAAATGCAGTATACATTAGAAATTATTTTTTTCGAGAGAAAAAATAAAGTGACTTCATTCTAGAAGAATCCGACTGCGTCATTCATTCTCGTCTCCAACAGCGTCTATATGAGTAAGGAACGTTGAAAGAAGTTTCACATTCAGTGAATTTTGTTTGTCTCAAATTCAAAATACTTCTCACAAAGATGACAATTTCAAGATTAGTTTTGGTATTTTTCTACTATATTATAGTTTTAGTGTAAGTATTCAATATTGTGTTTAGAATATTAAATTCATTCTCATCTTTCTCTAATAGAAATATCTCCGAACAACAACAATTACCCAGTAATTGATTTAGAATTATTTTCATTATTTTCTTTTGTTCTTCTCTTAGATAGCACAACGATTTCAACATGTAATTTCACGGCATGTAACTCTCAACGGACACCATGTTCATCCAATCGTAATTGCGAATGTTTTTCGTTGACGAGAAGTCCAAGTGTAGGAATTTGTGCTTCAGCCGTTTTGTCTTGTACCGATGTTGTCCGTTGCAATACGGATAATCGAACATGTCCTATTGAAAATACAGTCTGTGTCAACAGTACACGCTGTGGTCAACCAGTCTGTTACCCACTAGCTTTGGCAAATAAACTCGTTTGTCCAAGTAATACAACAGGTAAAAGATTGAGAGATACTGAAGATAATTTTTACATTTTTTTGTCTTCGAATAGCTACAACAACGACAACAGTACGAACCACAACGACGAGTATGTACTTTTGCTTCTTAAAATTCAGCATGATTGAAATCGCTAACATTCGGTGAATTTACATTTCTTACTTACATCTCTTTTTATAGCACGTGCAGGAGGCCTTACAAATACAACTCGATCAACAACAAGAGGTAAGTGGGGTTTTGATATGTCCCTCTTTAAATCAAGGTCTACATACATGTATAATTCAAAAATCTTGTTCGAGTTTCAAACTTTTCTATTCTTTCACTGTTCACAATGAGAAGGTAAGAGTGTGGTTGACGGGCTGAGGATCTTATGCCCTCTCCCTCAAGGAAGTTCCTCCCATTCACACTCTTGCTTCTCACATTGTAATTAATTGAATAGCAGAAAACTCGAAGATTCGAATAATGCGTATTCAAAATTCGCAAGATATGTTATAAAGCTTGAAAATTCGATTCGAATTAACGATTTGTACACTACTCAAGATTTAGTAATGAACGTCTATTTTCTCTCTTTCTCTCTTTTTGAAGTTACAACAACAACTGCAAGAAGGATTACCAATGTCTCACAGACAACATCAACAGGTACCTTATGAAATGCAACTGACAATAATCCGAGTTTATTTTTTGCTTCATTGATTTCGTTTGAATAACACTACTAGTCTTGAGGATGTGTGTGTGGGTGTGAGTAGTTGATTCTTTGACAGTCACACCTACACCCACATCTTTTCAAGATGTTTAACGTGAGACCAGCGACACAAATGATCTTTCAATCATATCTTCTTTTAGGCATAGACTCATTCGCTGGAGTGCAGCTCAATTTGGCCACATCTTTATTATCCAGTGCATGGTCACCATGCTATACGGCAACCTATGCAACGAATATGTCTGCAGCTAATCTCCCAGGTATATTGGCGTTATGCAATGGAACGCGACTGTTATTGGGTTGTCGTCCAGTTGGGAGTGCGGTATTAACTGTAGCAGCAATGGGGGATCGATCTGCTGTTCTACACGACTGTGGTTCAGCACAGAACTGTGCTTATGTGACCAATGGAGTCGGTTGGTACTATTCAGATTCATGGTCTTGGGGTTTTGTCAATGGTAATGATACAGTGAGCCGCACTAGTTGTGACACAGTCTCAATAGACGCAGACTATCGTCTATGCTGGCACACAGCAGGTGGTGGTGGATATCGCTGTGGAGCGACTTTATATCTTAACGACGATACAACTTGGGAGAAAGTGATTTATCACGCGAATTAATATTTAAAACAGTATCTTATACTAAAAAGACTTAATGACACTTGTTCAATTTTTTTGCTAATATTATACTCGCTTTCAGTTCTTTTTTTATCAAACTCTTTTTCCTATTCAAAACAAGAATAAATCGTTTATGACCATTTTAAGAGTATGAGCGTTGCTTACTCAGACCTACATCCTAGTCTGAGTTTCCACTTATTTATACAACTCATGGCGGGGTGTGGGTGTGGGTGTAGGTGGAAGAGAACTTGGGCGATGCATAGTACATTCACAGCCACATCCTCGACCTCGACATTCTGATATGATTCGAAAGGCCAACAACGATCTTAACAGATACGGGGTGAATTTTTATCTCAACAATGCCAATGGCACTCATTTTGAAAACATGCATTTGTATAATATCAATCGAATGTCTTTTATTGCTATAGAAGGTGATTTGAATGGTGATCATTATGCCAACATGATCATTTTATACAGGTCCAGTCCACAAATTCCTATTTATTTCAATACTGGTAATTGAACATTTATTTTTGTTATAATGTATCATTGTAAGGAGATTCTGCAACGGTTAGTGGTAGCAGATGTTGATGGTGACGACAAACTCGATATTATCGTTACATACATCGGTTTCAATAATATTGCTATATCTTTTAATGATGGTGATGGTATATTTTCAAAGTCGACAACTTATACAACTGATTGTTCTCCGAATTTTGTGGCGATAGGTGATATTATTAATGATAATGCATTAGACATTGTTGTCGCGAATATTCTTTAACACGGGTGATGGTAATTTCACTAATCAATTAGCTTATTCAATGAATTCTTTCTCAAAATTTGTTACAATAAAAGATGTGAATAGTGATGGTCACTTTGATATTATTGTGGCATGCACAAATAGTGTCGGTATTTTCCATACTGATTGTCGCTGATAAAGTATCTTGATAGAAAAAACAATATTAATTCAATTCCCTTGCCAAGATCATCAAACGAAAATATTGTTGGTCTATTCATAATCATCTATGACACCTTGAACTTCTTTTTTTCTGTAATTCATTTCGATTAATTTTTATTTTATCTTCATGTTGTATAACGTAAAAAAGTTTCTTTAGTTCATTAATAGAAATTGAATGAAGTTTTGAAAGATATCTTGATAAATTGTATACATTAATGATGAAAATTATTTGAAAAAGTGATTTCTTTTTCTGTGTGTTCGCCGAGACACTGAAGAAGTGTTGACATTTTGCCACTAATTAAAAAATCACAATGATCTTGAGGATGTGGATGAAGTAGATATAGTTCACACACCCACATCTTATTATTTCTTATAGATCTTATACAATGTTAACACTTGTGAGACTTAGTTTTAAACATACTCATTTTGTTCTAGGATGTAAAAATAAACTGTAGTTAAACCTTTTCTGTATATTTATTACATAAAAAGAGTCAACAAAAAAAAGAGATATACATTAAGAAGAAGTATATAACGACGACAGCGGTAATTACTCGCTGGTAAAGACTAAAAATGTTTTCTTCAAACTCCTATTTCCACCTGTGGAGCTGTTGTTACTATTCTTGTCCTTAGAATAACTGTATTTTGTTGCTCCTGTCCAGCTTGTAACATACGTCGTTCTATGACAGCCGAATGGAATATATATTTAACCATTTTGTCTAAGTTTTTAATTAGTTCATGTCGGTAAATGCGTGAAACTAACGTGTTGAGATAGAAAGAAGTTGCAGGATGAATAAAGGCTAGAAAGTTGAAAAGTTTATAGATAAAGAGAAGTTGCGCACTTGTTTGTGGTGGAATAAATGATGTGTAGATATTTATAATTGCGCTTGGAAAGACAAGAATAAGATAGTTAAACGACTGACACAGCATTAGTGTGATCATTTGTCGATTTTGTCGTTCATGTGCAGTAAAATTGGTAGCATGGACTAATTGTCGTTGTCGTTGAGCATTTTTGAAAGTCAAAACACTAAATCCAATTAATAGACAGAGCACAAAGACAGTCAAACCTAAGGATTTGAAGAAAGTATGTGCCTGAGTTATACTTCCATACCCAATAGTAGTGCAGCCAAGAGTCACCGAGCTAGAAATGCCAAAATATATTAGCACATAGATAAAAAGAAAATGAATAGATATAATAGTTATTGGTATTGTATAGATTGTATATTTCACCTTGCTCAAACCTCTTAGTCTTTGCGATGGCGAAGATGCCAAATAACGATCAATTGAACTCCAAACAATAAATAATGGTGAAAGTGAACTACATGTAAAAGTAGTATAGAGAATGTATTTGCAAAGTGATTGTGAAGGTCCAACAAGATTAATTTAATATCCTTCATTTAGATATCGATATAATATAGTTGTATAAAGAAAGTAAACACTAATAATTGACTGTGTAAGATAATAAAGTGAACATGCATAGATACGTAACTTTTTTCGTGAAAAAATGAAAATGTTTAAGATAGAACCAAGTGTACCAAAAAAAAATACAAAAGGAGTAATACAACGATATAATTGTATGATAACTAAAGTTAGATCGAGAGTCATTTTGCAGCGAGAATAAACTTTGATAATGAAAACTAAGTTATGTCTCTTTTCAGATCTTTCTCTTCTTATAAGCAATTTTTCTATGTGTTTCCGGTGAATAAAGGAAATGGCAACACAATATTTTTTTCCGTGTTTTCATTAGAAAAAACTATTAAGTAGATAAAGGGAAAATATTAATAAGTTTCGCTTACCTTAAAGGTCTAGAGAGGAAAATTTATAATTTACAAAATACGTCATTCTCTTCTTTTTTATTAGATGCTTCCTTTTAATTAAATCTCAAATTTTTAAGTTATAATCGGATGTAAGCTCATAAACAAGCTCTTAATGAAATATTTGGTATATAAATATCCGAGAAATTGTGATGTATCCTCTGGAACTGAAAAGAAAAAGAGATTCCTATCATATAAATAACCGATTTGTATTTGAAAAATATCAAAAACTGCTGAACATCAAAAAAATACCGAAGTAGCATGTTAAACCACTTCACATTGTTTTGAACTTTCACTCCGCTACGTCTACTCTGCGCAGATAGTGATCCATTTTTAGAGATATATCTTTCATACATTCAAATGCGATTCTTGATCTCAGCTATCTGGACGATGAAGATACTGTTGTGAATGTGTTGACTCCAAATTTATCTTTCATATTCGAACTCACATCCTCAAGATGGCTGGGTTCAAGTATATTTTCTCTATATTAGATAATTGACATTTATTTATTATAATTGCTTCTTGACTTACGGAAAGTGACAATAATTGAAAAAATAATAAATAGGATTATTATTCCTTTGACTATAAGGAGGGTGTGATACGAAAAAACGAAAATGCGTTTGTCTGTCTGTATGTCTGCCTGTGCCAGGGTCAAAGGCAAAGATTAAAAAAAACATTATGAGTAATAAAACTTGACCAATGGTTTTGGAGGTCGAAGAATTCGAATCTGAAGCTAGTTTTTCTTTAGAATTTTTTTAAAATTCATTTTTTTACTCAAAAGACAGATTTTTTGAAGAGAGATTTAAATAAAGGATTTTTCATAAAAAGCACAAAAAAGGTCAAAAAAATGTTAATAAAGAATTCTTTTAATAAAAGGTTGAATAACGGCAAGAAATATAAAAAATTTTAATAAAGAATTTTTTTAATAAAAAAATTATTTTTTCGTAAACAATTCAAAAAGGCATATATTGAGTGTTTGTGCGTGTGGGATTATCTAATCTTAAATTTCAGATCCGCATCCACTCACACTTACACCCAAAACTAAAAATTGATCATTACCTTAGACCTTTATTTTCCGATTCCGGAATTGAATGAAACTGATTGTAACAATGTCTGTCCCCGTCATACTATTTCTTCTTGTTTGATGTATTGCCTTTATCCTTTTATCTTTACTTCATACATTATAAAATTCTTTGTCTCACGTAAGTGAAGATCCGAGTATACACTTGAATAGAGTTCTTGAATTGTACGTGAAACCGCACCGGAACAACTAGAACAGATTCCTAGGCAAATATGGTGTTAACGTCACTTACGTTTATAGGAGTGCATTGAAACATGTTAAAGTAGAGTGAACTATCGTAAAGTACCTTGAAATATCTTAGAGGGCATCAAGTATAAAATATTATATTTCCTCGTTGGATCAAGTACTAAGAAAGAAGAAGAGGAAACGCACACACAACAAAAACATGTTGAAATAGTACCGTCCGATCTAGGTCGATCGGAATGAGTATTGCGGCGCTATAGTTAACATGCAATAGCATATACACATATGAAGAAGAATAAACAAATAGAAAAACACTTGTGCAGGGAAAAAAAACACACGAAGAGTACCAGTTAATGTGAAAGTCGACTGGCTTGTAACAATAACTAAGATGAGAGTAACGTATATTGGGAAACTAAAATAAGTTTAGAAAGAAAGTTCTAATTATGTTTATCAGAAGAGTCGGTCCAATTCGAAGTTTAGTCAAGTCAGAAATGATTAGATAATGCTTTTTTAAACTGGATTTGCCCATCTTTCTTTGTCAATTTCAATCGGCGGTTGTTGTTTTCCAACGGCAGAAACCGTCATTTCGCTAGATTTTGGTACTATCTTATGACGCGAAAGCTCTTTTAGTGTGTTCATAAGCCTCTTGTTTCTTCTCCAGGTCCAAACTAAAACCTGCATCGCCGACACAATAACCAATATACCAACCACAACTGCTACTGTCAATCCTGTTACACCAACTTTGAGCACTAGAAGAATTATTAAAGTAATTATCGGGCCCAATACTGAGACGAAGCTACACAAAAATGCCATCAAGGGACGTGCGTATTTTCTATTATCAGTTGGGCCAGAAAATGCATAAGCATAGAGCAACAATCGCACGTAAAACGCCACGAGCCAACCGTATATCTGAAAAAGTCCAGTACACAGTCCGATCTGTTCAAGAACTTCCAGAGTCGAAAATCCTTTCTTAAGCCATCGGTAGCAAGTGACACTACCCAGAAATTCGGGAATCAAAATGTCAGATGAGTTGCAGTAGAAGTACTCATTATTACCAGAAGTTGAATAACAATGCATATCACCATCGTCTGGGCATTCGTTATTTGGACGAAGATAAATGACATTTAGAATTAACCCATCAATGAAGACGATTAGTGTCATTCCAATCACGACACCTGTCGTCATCCATAGACACACACGAGGTATCTCAAAGTACCTACCTTTCCTCTCCCTCAATTCGAATTTTTCTCCATACAAATTTAGTATTGCTGGTCCCATGTACTCTTCAGACGGTTTGTACTCAATACCAAACATTTGCTTAAACATGTTAGAAAAGGTATGAGGACTTCTGTTCCATAATAAACCGGTAAAGAGTAGAGAAGAAATAACTGTAGACGAAATAATAAGGAAATTAGCATCAAAGTAGTCGGTATAATCCCACGCCATTTTTTACGAGACTGCGAAATGAAGATTGCCAAAGTTCAGTTTTTAGTCTAAAATTAACGAATACAAAAAAAATCGCCGTAATTATCACTACTAGATCCAGACGAGTACAGAAAGTCTTGGCTCAGTATGAGTTCGCAAGAAGGAGAAAATAACGAAGCTGTACACTTTCTGTCATTTATATACTGCTCTGTGTATCACACACAGTGGATGTTCTTATCTCTTACAGAGAAATAAACAGAAAAGCAATAGCTCACCTTGAGAAAAACAAAACAGAGAATATAGAACTAACCTTGAAAGAAAGA